AAGAAGAAAGGAAAAGAGAAGACTGTCCCAGCAGCTGGGTGGAAAAAGAAGTGACAGGCAGGGCAGACAAGCATCCTTTCTTGGGCATCCTCTCCAGTGCAGCGGCTGGTTCTCTTCCATATAATGCTTTTCCCATATTAACTGTATTAACTAGAGTTTTTCATCAAGACCGTCCCAAACTCCTTATGGGCTCTTCCTGCTTATAATGTTATTAGTGTTAATTGGAGCACACTTTGGTCAGTGGATGGTGCTGTGTGCTAATTGGTTGTTGAGCTGTGTCCAAAGATATTATTGGGTCCCTCTAATACAAATCAAAAGCTACAATCAAGAGTAGGAGAAGAGGAGAAAGGAAGCGTGATTCTCACACCAGTGGCAGTCACTTCCCCTGAGAACCTACCATACCAATGCTCCGAGGGTTGGCAGGTGCAAGATGGTGAGCATGAGAACAAGAAAGGAAACATACTACCCCAGAGACTCCGGTAGGCACTACCAGAGCCGTTGGGTGAAAGGGCAAGATAGGCAGGCTACAGTGGTGGAGATGAAAGGCCCTTACCTGTATAAAAGGCAAAGGGAAGGAAGGTACAGTGCAGCAATGGGGATCCAAAAGCCAGTATGGAAGAGGGACTTTTAATCTGGGTTCCACATAGCACTTGTGGCCACTCCAAGCCTTGAGTCATCAAATAAAAGGAGGCCATCTCTCCCCTCCTTACCGTGTTGTATAGAAGGACTGGCTTAGGCACCTGTCTCCAAGAGAAGGTTATTGCTGGAAAACTTTGAAAAGCTAGGACATATCCCTTCAGGCCAAAATGATGATGCAGAGCGAGCTTCCTTCCTCTGAGTGTTGGACATCATGCTGCTTTGTCAGTACTGCTGAAAGATAAGGATTGTTGTTTGGGCATAACTCCATACTAATAATGTTGTGTTGCTTTTGAGACCTAGACTAGTGCCTCTTCACAAAGAGCTACGTTAACTCTCAGATATCTTTGTCATGAGCGTCATTGTGTAGTATGTGAACTTTAGCTCTTGGCTGGTATTTTGTTCTGGACAGCTTAGGCAGCTTTCTACTGAGCACTGTTCTGTGGATCCTGCTTCTAGGTCAGTAACTCCCTTTATGTACGGTCTGGGGCTCCGAGACTGTGAGGTCTGTTAGATAGCCCAGTCAACATTAGAAAATGCCTATACGTAATAACACTGCACTGACCTTGTATTAATGATCCAAATGGTCCTTTCGATTTCTGACTTCTAGCACTTTTACAACTGTCTAGTACTTCTGCCAAAGATTTTCTGCAGTTTACAGTGCCTAATGTTTAGGACTAGGCTATGAGAGAGGAATCAGTCTAATTCCAAAGGGATCAAGAGATCCCTTTTGGATCTTCTGGAAACTTTTAGACAAGCCAGTGTGTCTTTTATTTCTCTATGTTCCTTTTCAAGTCATTTAGGCTTTGTGCCAGTTTTTAATAACAATTTTTGACATAAAATCTAAAAACTCTTTACAAAGGTGATCACTCTCACTGACCACAGTGACCGGGATAGTCACTTTTGTACCTGTAAAATCAGTATTTATGCAGACTTCTCTCCTGTATTCCTGACTGTGCAGTTGTTCAACATTAATTAAAGCACAGGTACAGAGGGATAAATTCCTTAATTGCACCCCTTTCTGTGCAAAAAAGAAGTTAAGAGGAAGAAGGGAAAAACATGCCCATCTTCTAACACTTTATAAGCAGTGGACCTAGTAAGAAGTATACTGATAAGAACTTTTTCATCACATTGCCTAGAGAAATTTTAGACTGACATAAGCCTTAAAATGAAAAGCAGTCTAACTTTTGAGTCTAAATGAAATATTGATTTTGATTTTTACTTTATTTATTTTAAATTATTGCATCTTTCCATTTTAATGTTCTGACATTCCTTACATCTGTATGCCCTGACTCAGTTACCCCAAGGGCTAACTGTTGTAAGGGGCATTTACCATGCCTTTCCTCAGGTATAATACCTGGTTTTGTTCAAGAATAATAGAAAATATATTTACGTAGGTATCCAAATCTTATTTTTCCTCTTTTTCTGTTGATGTACATCTAAGCACAACAGGTGACACAGATTTATTGAAAATCCAGATAGATAGCCACCTCTCCATTATCCTCTGTTCATCTCACTGGCTTAAAGAGCTGTAATAGCTTATATGTGAATGTTTTCCCTTTTAGAAAATACAGACAATATTCTTCACTGTGTGTCTGTAGTATGCTTAAGATCATGACCTAGATGCAATAGATTTCTATGATGGAAGCACTAACGAAAATAGTCCAATAAAATTTCCTCATTTCAGCCATCGTGATAGTTTTATGGATAATTCAAGGATAATTCATTGATACAATATTTTGTTTAACAGGTTCTGCTTTAGATTTGCATTTTAATGATGTGAACATCGCATCCGTAGACAGAGAATTAGAAGATCAAGAAGGCAGTGACCTTGGATTAGCAAGTAAGAGGTCCAGTTTGTAAAATTATACCCATTTAAAATATCTTTCTTTCTTACCTTTCTAAACTTCTACTCATCAAAATAGTTACAGACAGCAAAGACCTTCAAGAAAAGTCCTCAGTTTTGTTCCAGCTGTTTAACTTTGTGGTGTAAAGGGATTGCGCTGCTATCATCCTGTCTTTATTTTGCAAGGGATCAGTCTATTAAACTTTTTTTTTTTTTTTTTAACACACTTAATGACTTGGGCCCATGGGCATAATAGTTGATGGAAGGACGTACATGCATTTACAGGAAGGCATTGTGCTTGAGCTTGACTGCCTGCATGTTGAGTGCTGCAAATGTCAGACAGCAGGCAGTATGTGCTGTGTGGACCGGCAAGTACTTCCATGGTTAGGTGGTTGCTGAGAGGGGGAGTAGAGACAATTCTTGAGGAGAAGGAGCTAGGAACCTTTAGGACTTTAAATACTTGCAAGTTAGGGACTTAATCTTTTTATGAATCTAACCGGGAAGGAGCAATTTAGTTGAAGGTCTGTAGGGAAGTATTCAGCCATTTGGCCTCTTCTGGGAAAGGAGAGGAAGACAGCAAAGGACAGCAGTGCAGGGGAGAGACAGCAGGGAGGAAGGATGAATGGGAGAAACATCAGGAAATTAAAATGCCACCTTTTCTGTGTGAAAGTAGAAAAGGGAAAATAATTGGGGGGGGGGGGAAAGAAGAATAGGAAGTGAAAACTGAGAAACTGTAATTTCATTATCATATTCCTTTGGGAGTCATAGGGCAAAATAACAGACATGTTTTTATGATACTTCCATTTATTTTCTGCTATCTGTTTTGCTAGCATTTCTTTGAAGGAGGTCTACGGTGATTATTAAGTTGGTTGTGCATATGTGTTAAGCTTCCACTTCCGCAAAGGAAACTGTATTCTTGGATGGCAGATGTATTCCTCCCGTGTCCTTCTTGCCCTGTGGCTCTAGACGCAAAGAGTAAAACAACTATAGCTATGCCCTAGTTTATTATTGCTGACTGTTGCTCCAAGAAGAAAAGCTTGCACTTACTGTCTCTATACATTATGCAATTTTTCTTCCTTGAAGGTAATTATTATACCTTTAGTCCACTGGCTTTAACAAATACGCAGATATATTTGATGTTGTTGGCATATGTAAGCTTGTCACTGGGACCGCAGTGGATAGGACAGTATCCAAGTATTACAGATTCAAGACTTTGTCGTCAGGCATGGAAATCATTTTGACCCATGTGAACATCAAGTGCCCTCACTCCCTCAGGAAGGCATATATTATAAGCAACTGTAAGTTGCTTCTTTCCAGAAATAACACAGATGTCCAGAGAAATTCTGCTTCAAACTTTTCCTCCTCCAAGTGCTTCCTTTGCAGTGAAAGGGGCCAGTTCTAGGCAAGATCACTAATTTTATCACCCCAGTAGTGTGTGGATACACGAAGCTCCAGAGCAAACACAGAATTCGGGAAAGTCACCTGGTTTGAAATGGACATTTTCACTTCATCAGCTTGCTCATTTGAAGGTGAGCAGAAGATGCCTCGCATAAAGTGACTGGTGACATGCTGCTTCTGTCTTCAGATCTGAGAAGAGCATTTGGGGAGGCAGTTTACAATTCACATTTGGTGGTGTTGATGTTTTGGCATCAAGTAGATCTGGGCAGACTGTAGCAATGGCTTCATTATTGATAGCAAGAGCTAGAAGAAACCAGTGCTGGATCACACTGATTAAGAAGTTTCTTGCACCAAATACTAATTTCTGAGATCTTGACAACAGTGCTGCAAGCTCTGGTGCCCCTCCCGCCTTGACTGTGTTTTCTCCCAAGGTGGTTCTTTGTTACTAGAGGCTGTATTTGTGGTACCTGTATACTTCAAGTTATTAGGGCCTCCATACAGAATGACCCAAAATGTTACAGTCTCAATAGGTAGTCATCTAGTTTTATGTAGATTCTCATCAATAATATTAGTGGGAATATCTTCAGAGGTTTTAGGGCTTTATATTTCTTTCGGTTGATTGACTTCTTACAATTTTCTGTCCAGAGATGATGCTAACAGGTTCTTCCTTCGCCAGAACAGTTTATATGTTATCTATTAATGTTTTCCGTTATTGTTCACGATATTCCGCTTCATACAGACCTGGAAAGAAACTGATAATGTGTGCAATTTCAAATTTTATTTCTCTGCTAGTGATGTCAGGCTCAACAATTCTCCTTATGCTATAGTTTGTTTGACTGGTATTTCATTTACTGCCTTGTTCTATGCTGCAGGAATGATGATGCTTCATTGGAAGTACCATGAAGTATGGAATAGGAAGGAAGTACTGTAACCAGTTTTATTTGTATGTGGAGGATAGTTCATGCAGTGTAATAGGTTGCCCTTGGTGGGTAGCCAGATGCCCATCCAGCTGCTCTCTCACTCCCCCTCCTCAACAGGACAGGGGGAGAAAATAAGATGAAAAAGCTTATGGGTCAAGATAAAGACAGGGAAATCACTTACCAGTTGCTGTCACAGGCAAAACAGACTTAACTTGGGGAAAATTAATCTATTGCTAATTGAAATAGAGTTGGATGGTGAGAAACAAAGAGAAAAATTAAAAGAACACCCCACCACCTTTTCCCCAGGCTCAACTTCATTCCTTACTCTTCTGCCTCTCCCTTCCCGTCCCGAGCGGCACAGGGGGATGGGGAATGGGGAGTAGTGGTCAGTTTGTAACAGTTCCTCTCTGCCGCTCCTTCCTCCTCACACTTGTCCCTGCCTCAGCGTGGGTCCTCTCCACAGGCCGCGGTTCCTTCAGGCAATACCCACCTGCTCCGGCCTGCTCCTGCTTGTACCGTAGTCTCTTCCACTGGGTGCAGGGAAATACCTGCTCCACCGTGGTCTCTTCCAAGCCTTCCATGGGCTGCCGGGGAATCTCTGCTCCAGGGAAATCTCTGCTCCGGAAACTGGAGCAACTCCTCCCCTTCCTTCTTTCCTGACCGTGGTGTTCGCAGGGCTGTTTCTCACACCTTTTGTTCCCTCCTCCTCTGCCTGTGTGGCATTTTTTTGCCCTTAAATATGTTCTCCCAGAGGCACCACCGGTGCAGCTGAAGCTGGGTCCACTGGAGCTGGCTGTGTCTGGCACAGGACAGCCCTGGCCTCTCCTGGCCACCCCTGCAGCCCCGCTCCCCCCCCAAAACTTTGCCCCTCAAACTCAAGACGTGCAGGCAGATTGTATTTGCCAAAATTCAACTGGATTTGAAGACTACTTTAAGAACCAGAAAATAAATGGTTATTCTGCTGCCATTTCATACAGTGTTTGTTTGGGGGTTTTACTTTGGCTCTTAATTTTTTTAAGAGAATTCTTACTTGGCCAGATTTTTTAAGTAAACTCCCTTTGCTTTGTTGCTTCCTTGCTTCTCTTGCGGAGAGTGGTGTACGTTTATTGTCTGGTATATTACGTACGTCTGTGGTTATATGTCTGTCCTGTGTCTTCCTCATATAGTTGGTTGTGAGGCTGACCTTGGTAACATTTGCTGAGTATTTCAAGATGTATTTTTTTGAAGACATTGTGGCAATGCAGCTTATAATGAGCATCCCTGTCTTTTTGTTTTGAAATGCTTCTAGAAGGAATGATGTTTTCACTGATGACATGAATTCACCTGTTTGAAGCAAAACCAGAAAACTAGAATCATGACCCTTGCTTTAAGTATAGTCATCTGACTGCTATATTTTTTAAAGAAAAGATGATGTCATTTTTTAGTTGCTATTCAAGCATATTGATGAATAAAATCTTCACAGTAGATATTGAACTATTTCCTGACCAGGAAAATGCACTGCATCTGTGCACGTTTATTTAAGTAACTGCATGATTGAACATCCTTTTTTTAATACCTATTTTTTATTATTATCATTAGTTTGGGAAATTATGAACAATGCATTTGTTTGACTAAATTATTATTAATTTTTACTTTGTTTCAAACTCAGCTTTCATAGAGATATAAGTACATTTGACATTTAAAATTTACTGAACAAAAGCAAAAGTATGTAGAGGAAAGATTGAGCTATGTCTGATTATTATGCTGTGTGTGATTTTCAAGGTATGTAGTCTCACTTGCTTAATCTAGTTTATATATTAAAATAAATACCACATTTTTCTTAGTCCTTTAAGTTTCAGTTTCTCCACTTGCATTAGTTGTTGGCTGTAAAAATGAGTAAGTCTAATATCTTGATCTGAAAAGTGTTTTCTCTTTCTTTGTAGCTGCAGATGAGGCCACTGCTGTGTAAAGCTACAAATTCTGTTCTCAGGCACTTGGAAAACTACTTTCAAGTGTTCTATTTAAAAAATATTTTTGCGATAGGAGATAAATAAAGTTTTCTTTTTTAATGGAAGGTATTTGAATATATAATTTAATTTACATCTGATACATTTTTTAGAAAAATACTTACAGAGAGCTGTGTACTGCTTTGGAACTAATCTTCCCCCTCCCCCCCTTGCATACATAGGTCAAAGATTACTGGGAAGTTCAGCACCTGTCAATATTCCAGGTTCTCTTGTTCGTTCCTCATCTTTACATTCATCGTCATCCCTTTCAACCTCTCCACTCAGTTCTCTTTCACAATCGCTGTCTCAGTCTTTTGTTTCATCCACTACGGCTCCTCACCACCAGCAGCCTCAGCCTTTGAAGACAGAACATACTATGTTAGGCACCTCAGCCTCTTCTCACAACTCTTTAGGTAAGTCAGTCAAAGGCTACTCTTTGGGTATTGTAAGAGGGAACTCAATGGCAATATCAATTGATATTACAATATCAATATTGTAATTGATAGCACTACTGACAATGGAGTTATATGTGGTATGTAGGATAAAATTCAAGGAGTGAACTTCCATTCCTAGTGAAGGGAGGAAAAGAATTCTTGGAAAAGGAGATATTTACAGAGGCATTTGAAAGGGATAAAATAGAGCAGTTGGC